AAATGGTTAAAGACAACCGACCAGTGGAATCTAAGCCAAAAAACACATGCCTACTCTACCATGTTTTGGAATAAAGGGAAAAAGGGAAAAGGGAAAAGGGAACCTCAACATAAACCCTCTAACATGTGCAAACACTGCAAACACCGTATATATAAACCTCAGTTCAGCCTCTTACCTTTATCACCAACATTTATTGGAGAACGCCGTTCAAGACTTGTTCCTTCTCCTTCACGCTGCCGGTCCAGACAGGTCCTCATTGTTTGAACGGTTTGGGGGGTTTCTCAAGTTGAAGAAAGCTTTCTTCAGAGGCGGAAGAGAGTTCGGTTTTTGAGGTAGAGGGAGACGACAGTATTAGCTCACCATTAAGTTAACTTAATTGAGTAGTTTATTAGATAGCAGTTTTTGTAATTTAAATTTACTAAAATGCCCCCAATAAATGTTCATTAATTGGGCCCCGGTTAATGTATGGAACCATCATCAGACAAGTTAGGATCCGGATCCACCATTGAAGCTTCAGTAACATTTTCTTCTCCTACACTACTGCTGTTTAACCCTCCATGAGTAGACAACACAACATCCTCCTTAGAAATGAAGTCTTCCAAATCAGAGTCTTCCTCATCTTTAGAAAAGTGTTCTAAGTCGTTCTCACTGAAGTCACTATCTTCAGGGTCATCATCATCTTCAGTTTCATCACTAGGTTCTAATTCTATCCAAAACTCCACCACCTTACCAATATTTCCATCATTCACAACCCCCCAAACCTCTGTCTCATTATTTAGTTGCTTTAGGGACTCATTCTCATGTGAATAGGAATACACAGTCATTACCTTTTTGGTGCAACCAAGTTCTTGTAATTTCTCATTCAACTCAATCAAACCAAACTCATCAACCTCTACATCATGAAAATAATGGATTGACCCTCCCAAGTATGAAGGTTTATCCATGTGATTTACTTTTCCTCCATAAAACAATCTCAAAGTAAAAGTGTTTCCACACTTGGCTGCACCTGTTTTATAAATGAGGTCAATAATGTGTTTATAAGGTTAACACAACACCATATATGAGTCTAAGCTTGCGTAAAGATAAATGTGGTCGGAAGGACCACGGATGGTTACGTGGAAAAGGTCAAGAACTACATTTGGTTAAATTGAAACTCAGAGTATTAATACGGAAGTGTCATAAGTCATGAGACTAAATATAGGTAGGAAATGGAAACCACTGTGGTGAGTTAGTGAGTAGACATGCTTAAATCTCCGAGGCACCTCGAAAAACCATTACCAACCACTGTCCTCGCGCAATATTTGCTGTTTTAAATCGCTCAATCATTCTGCAATCTTTTTCACGAGAAATGGCAGCTCTGAATCTCTCTCCTCTCTTCAAAACCCTAAACCCTCAATTCTCGCGCTCCGGGAACCCTCCTAAAGCCCCAACATTGCTTTCCCTTTCGTGCACTCTTCTTCCCTCTACCCTCCCGTCACCCATCCCCTGCACCCTCAAATCTCAAATCCCATCGAATTTTCATCAGCTGAGAGCCACCGGAAACAGGGACTACTCGGCTAGGAGAAACGGAAATGAAGAAAAGGAGAGTATTACGCTTCCTGGATGTGACTACAACCACTGGCTTATTGTGATGGAGTTCCCCAAAGACCCTGCCCCTTCTCGAGAGCAGATGATTGATAGTTACCTCAATACCCTTGCCACTGTTCTTGGAAGGTTAATTTCGATTGCTCTTGATTATTCATGATGTTGCTTAGTGCTTCTGAGCTTATGGGTTTCCAAGTACTAGTCTACTACTATTGCACTATCTTTTTTGTTTTGCCTGTTTTTTTCTGAAGTGATTTATCTTTAATAATTGTAGTGGAATTTGAAATGTTGGCGTGTTACATGTAACGTTATGTTAATGGGGGGTTGGTAATTGTCTCTACCTAGGGAGTATTAGATTGTAATTTAAGGTTTGACATTCTACTAAAAGATGATGTAATGATCCAAGATATCAAGGAACTGAGCTTTTTACAAGCTCAAAGAGAGCAAAATTTATCGGAAAATTATCACAAGAAAAACTGAAATTTGAATTCATTTATAACCAAGTTTTAGTGCCGACATCTTTTTACTCTTGTCCAACTACCTATAGCTGAAAAACTTACAGAACCATAACTTTTCATTCCAAAACATACACTTCCTCAATCTCTTAGCTCGAAGCATGATAGAATGATTGATCATTGATTAACACCAATGGAAAGGATGCTTCTTCGTGATGGAAGTGATTTTCTGTCATGAAGGTCAACACCTGATGTGTCTTATCACTCTTATGCGGTTATAGCTTAAGAGTATATTAGTCCTTATGTCTCTGAAGTTCTTCACACTTTCCCTTAATAGTCGTTTCCAAAATGCCTTCTCCATTTCCTTTAAGGAAAGAATTGTGTTCTTGGTTTTGATCATTTTCTGTCTCAGTGAATCTCAACCTCACAATTTCACTTTCCTAGTTTGGGTGTAAAAACAAAATAGTAAGAGCATTTGTGGATAGAGGGAGTACTACTTTGGTTATTGTTAGGTGATTATATCTTCTCTGCCATTTGAGTTGACTTGTGTGTGTTCAGTATGGAAGAAGCAAAGAAGAACATGTATGCCTTCAGCACAACTACTTATACAGGATTCCAATGCACTGTGTCTGAAGAAACATCAGAGAAGTTCAAGGGTATTTGGGAGTTGTAATCTTGTACTTCTTCAATCTTGAACTTTTATGCTACGTTTGGAGCTCACATAATTGTAGGGGTAAAAATGTGAAGGAGAAAAGAATTAATGTTTGGTTTTACCTTGGAAATACAATTTTATTAAATCCCTTAAAGTTTATACTACCTCCGTTCTCTTTTAATTGCAACATTGGACTTTTTGCAATATTCACATATTCTACTTTGAACATATTTTATTTATTAATGTATTACTCCGTTCGTCCCCCTATAATTGTCTCATTTTTCCATTTTTGGATGTCCCTTTATTATTGTCCCATAACATATTTGGTAACATTTGTGTGGCTCTAATTCATTCTTACTGTATTTCCACTTTATCAACTCATTACCAACCACATAATTCCACTTTTCTTAAAAACCACACCACTCTCTTCCATACCAATATTAGGGGGACGGAGGGAGTATAATTTAAAATTTTAAAAAATATTGTTAAATTCTTCTCATTTTAAATTTTCAAAATCTGAATTTTTTAATTTTTTTACTAATAAGAAATGAAAGATATTAATGGTCAAACTTGTGCGTTGTCAAATGTGAAAAGTAGACTGTTGCAATTGAAAAAGAACGGAGGAACAAATGAGTTTGAACAAATCTTGAGTCAGATTTTAAATCTTCACTGCAATTTCTGGTCCTTCCAAGCCACCCAAAATTTGTGGGTTTCAAACCACCCTAAATGATGTTTAAATACAGAGTGTCCGTTTCTGAATTTCCAGGTTCAGAATTAATTGCTGATTGGTTTCCCTTGGCATATTGTTTTGTAGGATTGCCTGGAGTGTTGTGGGTTTTACCTGATTCTTACATAGATGTCAAAAACAAGGACTATGGAGGTTGATTCATCTTTAAAATTTACATTGCTATTCACTCTTTTATTATATGCAAAAATCTTATGTGTTGATCACACATAATTAATAAGTTGTGGTGCATTGTTATTCAGGAGATAAGTACGTCAATGGAGAGATAATTCCTTGCCAGTACCCTACATACCAATCAAAGCAGTCCAATCGCTCAAAGAACAAGAGTAAAGCATATGTGAGAAGAAGAGATGGCCCTCCTCCAGAAAGGCAAACACAGGAAGCCACTTCCCCTGACTTTTCCTCATAGAACCGTGGTTGGGTGGTTTCTTATTCTCTAGTGTCTAGTTTGGTCAGAGGTAATGAAATATAATTTAATCAATTTTTTAGTTTAAGTTTACATTACATGTGAATTTGATTATATTTCATTACGTCTTTTTACCAAACTTGACCTAAATGTATAATATTTTGACATCTCTGTTTCACTTCCAGAAAACTTTCTTTCTTTGCAGGTTTATTTAGATAAGAGGTGCATGGCGTTTTTAGAAAATGTCAAGTAGGTTAGTGGTTTGCAAAGATGTATTAGTGGTTGGAATTCTAATGTATTAATGTTGTCCAATCTTCTATGAACACCAGCTTGCTACTTTCACAGTGAAATTGGAAAGTACTATCGTATATGCTGTTGTGTGTCTAAGTGAGATAGTTCTTTTATTGATCAAAAAACACTATGATAGCTATTACTATGAACAGAGATTATCAACAATAGTCCTCCACCCACTATTTTTGTTCCATTTCCATTTTGGTTCATCCTAATAAATTTGTTCATACTATATTTGGTCATATTTGTGTAGTTCAAAATCTTTCGTACTTTACAAAGTTAATACGGTAGTATTAAGAATACAATAATGCTTTTCTTTAGTTTGCCAGTACTCGGTGGTGAGGTGTTATTAGTGGGGCAAATGACATTTTTTTTAATGCTGGAGTAGTAATTGATTGGACTCTTAGTTTGAGATCCCTGAGTGTATTTTACTAAACAAAACCTTGGTCTAGTTAAGGGAGAATGAAACATACCAAATCATCAAATTTATAAAACAAATTTGATCTCCAATATCTTATTTTTTGGGAAGAACACTTATTTATTAATACTAGGGGTGGATTCGGTTCGGGCCACCCGGCCCGTGATCCGGCCTGGCCCGCTACTGTGCGGGCCCGGGACCGGCCCGGTCTGGCGGTCCGGGACCGGGTGTAGACCCGAACCAGTGGGAATGGGTGGGGGGGGGCACGGTTCCGGAAAAATGTGACCCGGTCCGGGCCCGGGTCCGGGTCTAACGGTCCTATTTAAAAAAAAATTGTTAAGCCCAAACTAGCCGTTATGGCCTTGGGGGGTGGGCCGGGGACAACCCAAACGGCTATATAGCCGTTGGGTGGGGTGCAGGGGGGTCCGTGGGGTTGGGTGGTGGGGGGTGGGGGGTAAAAAACCCTATAAATACTCCTAATCTTATACATTTTTTCATATCTCTTCTCCAATTCTTCTTAAATCATATTCTTAACTCTCTAATTCTCTTATTCTCCAATATATTATATTTATTATTTATAGTTTATATTAATACTAATGGAAGTGACGGGAGATAAAGCAAATCAATAGCACAGAGCTATCTTGGGATGAGACAATGAATTGTCCAATCCTTGATGACTTGTCAAGATGGCTAACTCTGTATCATAGTAGCCTAATCTAACAACATCGTTGTACTTGCTATTTAAATAAATGGACATGAAATTAGAGTTATTAAAATGAAAATAACAAATAGAATCAAATCTTTTGGTTTTTCCAGCCACCATCAAGAGAGAAGAGGTTTGATCAGGCACCTCCAAAGATGTAATTCCGATTTTACCAGCCATCAAGAAGGGAAAAGAGGATTGCCCAACCACCTCCAAAGGAAGCATCCCGCTCACAAGATCTAATAGAATTTCAGGCGGTGTTAATCCAGTAACACCGCTGCAAAGCCGTTTTTTGGTCCGGTTCCATCAACCTCCATACTGACCTCCAACACATGGATCGTGGCTAGATTCCCTAACCCTCGACAGTTCCGGCTCACATAGCCCATCCGAGCAGACACCACACCCGATTAGCCAAAGCTATCGGGGACTGAAACACCCTACAATCGAGGGAAAAAAACGCCAAATATATCTGGAAGAAAACCAGAGTGAGATTATCACTTGTGGAATTCACATTCCTGTTCGTGAAATCGATGTTGATCGATCTTCGTCCAGGGCCGGCGGCGCCCTTAGGGTTTAGAGCAAGAGCGAGAGCCGACTGCTTTCATTCCTTCTTGATGTCATATTAATCCTTGTTAATGACCTACATGACATTATATCTCTAATTTCTCATATAGGACAAGATTAGTTACATAAGTTGTTAGTTTGCAACTAGTAATTGTATAAAAACAGATGCTCTTGGTGATGCCGTCATCCAAGGTACTTAGGCCAGACTTTGCTTCTTGTGCCACCCTATATTAAAATATGAGTAACGATTCACTGCTAGAACTACATAACAGCAGTCGTTCTTCTTTGTTACATTTTATCTTTAATTTTCGTGTTTCAAACTTAGTGAAGTTAGTTGTAAAACAGTAATTTGCCGTGTACTAGTAGTTATTTGTAATTCTATTTAATTACTCCCATTGTTCTATAAATAGTACTCTGTACTGCGTAGTTCATAATTTAACAACATCCAAGCTTTAGTTTCAAAATAGTAGTTGATAATTGAACACGCTCTAAATAATACGTAGTATATGGTGCCACAAGTCTACACTTAACATTTCTGTATTTTATTCATTTTACTGTACTGTTTTTTTGCACACTTGTTATGGCTTTTTGATCATTTTGCAATGTTACACCAATTTACACTTCTAAATACTTTCCAATTATAATATGACATAAAGCTAATTTCAATACCTACATGATAAATTGATTAATACCTAAATAAATAAAATTAGCTATTTTTACTCGGTAATCATTAGAGTGAAAAATATAATAACAAACCTAACAAGAAGTTAACTTAGGGAGTGTTTGCGACTGGTTCTACTTTTTAAAAGTGATTTTTCTAAAATTTATATGAAAATTAATTAATAGTAAAACTAGTAGTTTTTGAAAACAAAAGTGGATTTGAAAAGTAAATGTTAGGATGCATGTTTGCAGATATACTGTTTTTCTTTAGGTAATAAAAAAGTGAAAAGCATTTAAAAGCATCACTTTCCCCGTTAAAATAAGTAAAGTTGATGTTTAAAAACTCATTCTAACTTTTTCTACCTTGCAAACACTCCCTTAGTCTAGAACACAAGCTCATTATTCATAATTTTCAATGTACTTATTGACATGTTTTTTCACAAATGAAATGTTACGTTCCTTTAAATAAGTGAGACTGTGAGACACGTCTTTTCTCATGTAGCGTTAAAGGTATTCCCCATCCTATAAAATTTGGTCAAGTTTAACATACACGTTGAAAAATAAAATAAAAACCGTCTGATTGAAATTAGAGAAGAGGAGACAAAAATAGTTTTGACCAGCTATTTTAAGTAGGGATTAACTGAGCCCTGGCGGCCCGACACCGAACCAACCCAGGACTCTTTGTATCGGCCTGAGACCGGTACTGTTTGTGCCGACCCGAGATCGATACTGTTTGTATCGGCCCAGGACTGATATTGTTTGTACCTGCTCGGAACCGTTACTGTTTGTACCAGTTCAGGACCGGCCCGGTACCCGACCGTTGGTTATAAGGGGCGGGCTTTGGGCTTGATTTTTAGGGCCCGGTCCAGCTGGTCTCGGGCTCGGTCTGAGCCCAACAGATTTTTTTTTTGAAAAAAATTAATTAAATGGGGTGGGTACTGACCTGGGCCTGGACCAGAGTCGGTACCGGAGCAAACTGGGCCGGTACCAGACTTCACTTTTTCAGAACCAGGACCGGTCGAGCTCGAGACTGACCCGAGTCCAACCCTAATTTTAACCACATATTCATTACATTTTGGGACAGAGAGTACTAACTCCCTCCCTTTTTATATAGTCAAAATAATGGTAAACTTTGATCAATCGTTTTAACTAATACATAGTATATTGTATGACCGAAGAAGAAGAAAAGAAGAAAAAAGCGACTTGTTAGGGAGCGGTGAAGGTAAACCCTAGTCGTCTCCCCTCTCTTCTCTTCTTCTCAGTCAGTTTCCTTCTCCTAAAGATGAAAATTTATCTCTTTCACAAGTATTTTCAAGTTATTTTATGTGGTTTCTTCCTAGCAATGTTTAGGATTTGTGTATTCCTCGTTGGTGAAATCGATCGGGCATTGAAATTTTATTATTGGTGGATGACAATGTTTATCTTTAGTCGAGAACACAAGCTTATTATTCATAATTTTCATAGTATTTATTGACATGTTTTTTCACAAATGAAAGGTTACGTTCCTTTAAATAAGTGAGACAAGACACGTCTTAACTCATGTAGCATTAAAGGTATTCTCCGTCCTATAAAATTTGGCCAAGTTTAACATACACGTCGATCGAATAATAATAAAATAAAAACTGTTTGATTGACATTAGTGTAGAGGAGACAGAAACAGTTTTAACCACCTATTTTAACTAGGGATGGAGTGGGCCCTGGCGGCCCGACCCCAGACCAACCCGGGACTATTTGTATCGACCCGAGATCGGTATTGTTTGGGCTTGATTTTTAGGGCCCGGTTCGAGCCCAACAACTATTTTTTTTTTGAAAAAAAAGTAATTAAATGGGGTGGGTACCGACCCGGGCCCGGTATTATTTGGGCCCGGACCGGAACCGGTAGCGGAGCAAACTGGGTTGGTACCAGACTTCACTTTTTCAAAATCGGGACCGGTCGGGCTCGAGACCGACTCGAGTCCAATCCTAATTTTAACCACCTATTCATTACATTGTGGGACAGGGAGAGTACTAACTTCCTCCCTTTTTATATAGTCAAAATAATGGTAAATTTTGATCGATCGTTTTAACTAATACATAGTATATTGTATGACCGAAGAAGAAAAAAAGAAGAAAAAAGCGACTTGTTGGGGAGTGGCGAAGGTAAACCCTAGCCGTCTCCCCCTCTATTCTCTTCTTCTCAATCAGTGTTCTTCTCCTAAAGACGAAAATTTATCTTTTTCATAAGTATTTCCAAGTTATTTTATGTGGTTTCTTCCTAGCAATGTCTAGAGTTTGTGTATTCTTCGTCGATGAAAACGATCGGGCGTTTGAAATTTTATTGTTGGTGGATGGCAATGCTTATCCTACTTCATTTGTTTGGGAGGTTAATTGCAAACATCGGTGTATCTAACACCTCAATTATTCGCCCTCCTTCTGAACCCCTCTTTCATACTTCTTCTTTACCAGTACCCACAAACAGCTTCAAAATCTTCTCATTGAGTTTTCCGGCTCTTAATGTTTTCAAGAAGAGTCCAACGAGGATGTGATCGGGCAAGCAGGATAAAAGAAGTTGATAATAAGACCCATAAAGTCATTATTAGAAAACAAGTGATACTAAATAGACTCGTAATAATATTTTTGTGTAATATACAAGTATACAACTATCCTGCAAATTCGTATACAAAAAACACTGAGGAACTAAAAAAACTCAATTCAAGTGTGTACGCACATAGATCAATGACGCGATATTCCTGAATTTACAGAGATTTATAAAGACAAAATAGAACAATAACAAGGGTGTTTGGAATTGGTTCTGCTTCTACTTTTTTTTTAAAACAGAATCAGAATCAGAATCAGTTTTCAGAAGCTGCTCTCTCCCAACTTCTAAAAAATTAGCTTCTAGGAGTAAATTAAAGAATGAGAAGTACTTCCGCACTTTCGCCTAAACAATCCAACTTCTGTTTATGCTCCTTGTGAAGGAGCAGAAGCAGTTTTAAAAATCAAATCCAAACACCCCCTAACACATAATCAATAATGTGTGTTCTTTATAATTTATCATATTTCTTTTTTGGATGTCTCAAACTTTGTCACTCTTCCTTTTAATTAATAATTTTGTGGTTCATACAGTTTCTTCTTTCTTTGCACAAATTTAGCAAATTTTCAACCTCTTTAGTGTATATTTTTTAAACTTTCATATTTAGTCCACCCCACTAATGCTTAAGTCTAGTATAATTGTTTTTCAACTCAGGGTATCCCGAATTCCTGGATCCGCCCCCGTATGTACATCACAAAAATTTTTCCAGGTGGGTGGGGGAGGGGGGACGATACTCCTCCGCCCCTCCCTGTCTCCACCACTGAGCGCAAAAACATGCATGTTGGAATGAATGAGCAAAAGAAGGGTAATGGTAAAGGGTAATGGGTAGAGCAGATGAGAGGGACAAACATGGCTCGTGAATGGCTTTACAAAGGCTTTGATGTATGAACCGTACATTCTTCACTGAAGGAGGCAATAAGCCTTTTCAACACTACGTTACTTTGATTGGTTTCATAAACAATCAATGAGTATGCGCATGATCGATGATATGGGCTTTCTTGCCTTCACTTTGCTCCCATGCATTACGTACAAACACTACCGATCATATCCATACATTGCATAGAGGACCACTTCTTTAATTTCTTCCTTCTTTCATTGATATACAATGGGAAGTGTGCATATTAAGTTATTACTCCCTCCGTCCCGCTAACAATGGGACAAGAGAGACCAACACACAAACCAATAAAAATGGTTTATATGGTTGATATTAAATAGATAAAGTAAGAATAAAGTAAGAATAATTTAGAGCCACACAAACTTTACCAAATTTGATATGGGACAATCATAATTGGACATACCGAAAAGGTAAAATGAGACAATCTTAGCGGGACGGAGGAAGTATTATAATCGATCATCAATCATCATCATACCAATTAATCCTGTAATTTTGTTACATATATTTCACAAGCATTCAACATTTTAACCTCATTATTCATATTTAATAGTACAATATTGGAGTATTTATTGGATGAAAACATTATACACATTTCCTTTTGCTCCAAAATTATATTCACAATTCTTTTAAGAAAAGTATTTCATGGTCGATGTAGTTCACTTCTTAAAAACGTTTTTCAATTGCACGATTTATATGGATGAAGAAGCATTATTTAAATACAATTAATTTAAGTTGCAAGTACATACATAAAAAACAACCTATTAAACTTCTATTATGTATGGTTAATTAAATGCTCCAATTCTCCAAATAGAGCAAGAATAAATCTAAACTATCCAAGTTTTATTCCCAAAGGGAATTGAGTCAATTTAATTATTGCAACAAAATATAACAGTCATTATTAATACTACATTGATCAGTAAAATAGGAGTTAAGAGGAGAAAATGCATGAAGTAAATTAAGTGGTAGAAACCAAAGGTAGAAAGGAATGAGTTTGAAACTGATGAAAGAATGAACAGTGTCTTGACTTCTAAGAAAACTTTTATGCTGAGAATCCCAAAGCAAATCCAAAGCTGGGTTAGATTAGCTTGGCTTGTGACTTGCTTGTAGGTTGTAGCATATATATTTATATTTAATTAATAGTATGTGGTGGTGGCCACTCTTTTTCTCATTGTGCAGTTTAGCTTTAATTCTGATACATGTAATGTTGCAGAATAGAATATATATACATAGCACCACACTGCTCATCATATCAGCAAAGAATCTATCTATAACTTGAAAACCCAAACAATGACTCATGTCTAGATTCCTAGCTCAATATTATGCTTTGTCTATTTAATTTTCTGGCCACTCCACTCTCCCCCCATTCAACCTACAAAATCTATATAACTCTGCCTGTTTTTTTTGTCCTAGAATCCAATTGTGTATGGTTGCTACTTCACTTGTATACTTACTATTATTATCCTAATAAAACAACAAAAATGTGTTCTCTAAAGACAAAGAGAAAGGCTCACTATCCACCATATGTAATTTGGGTTTCGGCTCTCTTGCTGTTCATCCCTATTGTTGTCACCTCATTAGGCCGTCCTGCTAACCCTTCTCTTCTGAGTCTAATTTCATCTTATCGGATTTTGAGTCGTACTAAGCTCATCAATTCTGCAGCTTCTCTCAGTGGTAAACAACATAACAAGTGGTTTCAAGAAAATGAACCTGATCAGCAGCTTTCTTCCTCTCCAGCGACCAAACCTTCTGCAGTTCATGGTTATTATTATAGTAATGGAACACTTGACCAGGTGTCTCATGTAACTGCTGCAATTGTTGCTCATCCACCTTCTCCTCTTATGGTAAGATTACCTTTCAGTCGCCTCCTTCCGTACAAAATTGATCAAATGCAAGTTCTTCCTTCATTCATATATTGTGTGTGCTACATATGTAACACATATTGCACATACACTGTCTGCTCCATTGATTCCCAGTTAGATTCGGTATTGAAAGACTAATTAGGATAAAAGGGTAGATTGGGTACTTTATTTTTTCAGCGTTCTAGTATTATGCCTATATAAGTACTGAGTACTAGTTTAAAAAATAATATACTTCGCTCGTAAATAGAACTAAGATCTAACTCATTTTGTTTTATCTTGAAAATATGACTTTTCACTCGTAAAAGAACTGTTAAGTATCAACTAATTTGTGGTACTTTATTGAAAACCCTTTTGGTACACAAATTAGGATTTTTTTTCAAAACCTCTTTGTGGTCTATATTGTGTACCAAAAGGTTTTGTCACTTTGAACGTTTTCCCTTCAAGGAAACAAATTTGTGGTCTATATTGTTTCTCTCCTAAGCATAAATCATAACAACATATTTTTCAATTTTTTACCAATCCTGCCAGTCAAATGTGACAAACCATTATGTGAAAGAGCGAGTATTAATTAAGAAATTACTACAAATAGGAGTTAAGCATGTGTGATGCACAAATAGAAGTATCCTTGTTTTGTGCTAATAATACTAGTAGAACTTTTTCTGTTCTAAAAAGGGTATGAAAGTAGTTAATACTTGATAGTTCTTTTACGAGTGAAGTCATATTTTCAAGATAAAACAAAATGATCCTATTTACAATAAACGAGTTAGATCTTAGTTCTATTTAGGGGAAACGTCATTGTTTTATTAATCCTAAATGGAGCACACATTTGTACTATAATAGGAAAACAAAGAACATGCTGATAGGAGTGATGGGAAGGAGAAGTTGTTAAGAGGTAATGGTACAAGAGTAGTGGCATCAGATGCAGTCAATAATGACAAGAGAGAAAGGAGGGTTGAAGCCATCTTGGCAAAAGCGAGGTCAGCCATAAGAGAAGCTTCCTCTGCCAGAAATGGCAGCAGCAGCAACATGATATCTAGCCACCAGGACCCTGATTATGTCCCTCAAGGCCCCATCTATCACAATGCCAATGCCTTTCACAGGAGCTACCTGGAGATGGAAAAGGTGTTCAAGATGTATGTCTACTCAGAAGGTGAGCCTCCAATCTTTCACAATGGACCCTGCAGGAGTATATACTCCACCGAGGGCAGGTTCATTCACCAAATGGAAAAGGGCAATTTGTTCCGAACGAATGATCCCGATGAGGCATTGGTCTATTTCCTCCCCTTTAGTGTGGTGGTTATGGTGCAATACCTTCACATCCCTGGGGCCCATGACATGCACCCCATTGGTCGCACGGTTGCCGACTACATCAATCTTATTTCCTCTAGTCATCCCTTCTGGAATCGAAGCCTCGGCGCGGATCACCTCATGCTCTCTTGCCATGACTGGGTAGGTACACTTTGTCTGACTTAGTTTATATTTATGCAACCATGCTTCATGCTTGTTTAGTTATAGCTCTGCATTGAATTGAATAAATATAAAAAACGGGGAAATATAAATCAAGTAATTTGAGAATGTATGAAGTGTAATAAAACAAAAGAAATAGACAATGTATTACGAACCAGGGTATAAAGTTTTGTACACTTTGCTTCTATTAATGACACCATTATGAGATCACTTGCATTGTTTGTCACATGAGAATGACATAAAATTGTAGACCAAAAGCATTGCTTGACTCAAAAAAAGTTTTTTAGTATTAATTCAAACTCGGTTAATTATTTATTTCTGATATGTACATACAGCAAACACTAAGAAATCTGAACAAATACTAAATATTTTTAAAACAACCAAATTTTTTTATCCTTTAATTTCCAAGGTGAAAAATGAAAGAGTAATAAACCTTTTCAAAGCAAAATTTTCTTTTCCATAGAGTTTTCTATGCTCCAAATATACCCTTACACATGGTTGTGTACTTGTGTTGTAGGGGCCTTACTCAACGACTTACGTTCCCAATCTGTTCAACAACTCTATCAGAGTGTTGTGCAATGCTAACACCTCAGAAGGATTCAATCCCCGAAAAGACGTCTCGTTACCGGAAATCAACCTGAAGACAGGCGAAATCGCCGGCTTAATAGGTGGCCCTTCCCCATCCAGACGCTTTGTCCTGGCGTTCTTCGCCGGCGGTCTGCACGGACACATAAGGCAAGTCCTTCTGGACCAGTGGAAGGACAGAGATCCGGACATCTTAGTGTACGACAAGCTCCCCAGTAGCAGCGGGAAGTCCTATGAGTCTATGCTGAGGAATAGCCGGTTCTGTTTATGTCCGAGCGGGTATGAGGTGGCGAGCCCACGTATAGTGGAAGCGATATACGCGGAATGTGTGCCGGTGTTGATATCTGACGGGTACGTAGCACCGTTCAGCGACGTTTTGAACTGGAAGGCTTTTTCAGTGGCTGTGGACATTAAGGAGATTGGGAATTTGAAGAAGATACTGATGGGGATATCAGGGAGTCAGTATGTGAGGATGCAAAGGAGAGTGAAGCAGGTGCAGAGGCATTTTGTGATCAATGGACCTCCCAAGCGATTTGATCTCTTTCACATGATTGTTCACTCCATCTGGCTCAGGAGATTGAATCTCCGGGTTCATGCTAGGAGATGATGATCCACATTCTTTTTTGCTCTTTTCTACATTTCATTTCATTATTTCTACAACTTGGCTTATAATATTTATGAAATATCTAATAAAGCCAGTAAATATTAACAGTGTTCATTCTTCACTTATGCGGTTCAACAGGTTACTACAAATATGCTTCACCTGGATCTTATATTCTTATCCCTCCTTTGCTGGTTCTTTTCATGCAAGGACTCAAAACTTAATTGGTGGTTTAACCCATTCTAATTGTATACAAAAGTCTATAATCTGAATTAAAAATATATTCTAATAGAAGTATAAAACTTTGAATTAAAAGAACATGTTAAAAAAATCATTACTCAATTTACCACAATTGACCGAGCTAGTCAAAGAATGGCAATGTTTTGCTAGGGAAGCAGTATGAGCTACTCCGTATTACTTAGATCAAGCTGAGTAGACTTTACAAGTAAAGCTGGTAGCCTGGTACCAGTGTACCACATCAACACAAACAAATAGCTCCCTTGATGGTGCCAAAGAGAATCATCTCTAATGTCATCTAAAGTCAAGTCATTATAGGAAACTCAAACAAAATGAGGTCCTAAGTCCCCAGCTTTCCACAGAAGAGCGTCGAAAACTTTTGGCTCCTTTGACAGCCCGCCACAAGCCCACAATGGTAACCAAATGCCACTGCCACAACAATCTGGTCCTCATTGAAACGCAAGACAAACCCTAAGGAGAAAATCCCTGCCCATGACTCTTGCATCCTCCATGGTTCCTCCTCTCTACATCCCACCCCAAACCTTAATTGACCCACCATTTACCCTAAGGGCCGAGCCGCTTGCCAAGCATGTATCATCCACACAGCCCGTTAATCACGTTTTGTACTGACACCAAATCCCCTTTCCGTGAAAATTCGAACTCCCTAAATCCGCTCCATGTCAACCCCAATTCCTCTCGAACCATTCTAGCCAACTTGAACCCAAAAACAAATGGGTTCAGCTTCTCTCCATTTCTTTTTTGTCACTCTGTATCCTCTGTACACACTCCAACTCCACCCCCATTTTTAGTGTCACTTTCTCTCCTACTGGAAACTTCAGTACCAGGGAGGAGTATTTCCTGAAACAAATGTGCCCAAGTGGTTGGCACAAATATCACATAGAATCATACTCCAACCACCTTATTGGAACTTGGAAGGGCAACCCCAGTGGGCATGAAAACATTACATGCTTACCAAAAGAATATATTTACTCTAGGAGGATTCTCCCATTTCCACATGTTCATCCAACATGACAATGCTCACCTATCATTTATCACCCTCAAGGCTAAATAAGTTCATCTTCTACGGAGTTATAAGAACAGGCTCCTAATGCCAACACCACGAAACCTGCCACTGGCAAAATAATTATGCGGTCTTAGTAAACCACACAAATTCATCAGCAATTTCCAATTGTAACAATCGACCTGCTAATAAGTTATCATACAAAGCTGAGTGAGAGTATTCACTGCTTAACAACTGAGATGGAATTGTTTAGGTCAACACTTCAACAACAAATCAGAAAAGGTGAAAACTCATCAAATATTCAAAGCCATGAAAGTCTAATATATATTCAAAATAAGTTATATCTTTCAATAATAGAAATAAAGAATTTCATAACTTTTCTTTGCATTTAAAGGATTTTAAGGAGTGTTTAATGTAGTTCATACTTATAAAAAGCGTTTACTCTTTTTTTATACCATTGAAAAGCGTTTACTATAGAAAACAAAGGAAAAAATAAATCTAATTATGAGCTAAGAAAATACAGAAATAAAGAAATAAATAAAAAATTTAAGATGATAAAATTGAAATAAGGATGAATCACAGGCTGGTGTGAGTTGAACCTTCAGACGTGAATATCATCATCAGGCCCGCATGAGAAGCTGTTGAAGCTCAGAATAGCAAAGAGCGTATGCACATAGATAGACAGATAGACAGAGTCATATATATAGAGAGAGAGAGAGAAAGAGAAAGAGAGAGTTAGTGGCTGTGTGGCGGAGAATGAGAGACGAGCGAGCAGCGAAAGAAGAAGGTTGCGAATCTTATTCAGATTGAAAACTATATTTTGCAAAAAAATAGCATCAGTTCATACAGAGATGATTGATCAGAGTTTTCTTTGTCCACATTTTCGCATCCCCTTCTTCATCGCCGCTTCCAGCTCGTTACTTTCCTTCCTCTGCCACGAATCACGCCCACAGAAACCCCCGGGTCGGCTATGAGCTCCAACAGCTCCTCAATTGTAGAATTTCCTGTACCCTAGGCCCTAGTTTATGTACACATGATATTAGGGTTTTGACATGAAACGCGGTCGTCCTAAGTTCAACCGTAAACTTGTGTATGTGGTTCACGGGTTTGGTAAGGTATTCAAGCTACCAAAACTTTTAGGATGCAAAATTTATACGATAGTATACCGTTATCTTATTGAAGTTTCTGTATATCGTCATTCGGTATTCCAAAATTTCGGTTCGACAATGATACAATATCGTTAAATTATAATGGATGTCTCCTAATACAACAAATTATCATAGACTAACGAAATATGTTAAATCGGTGTTACTAGTGACATATTTAATCCATTATTAAAATGTTACAAATACAATTAATAATCTATTGATGTCATATTCAATATTGAACAATAATTATTATTAATATATTTAAGTAGTTCAATATGTCACGTATTAAAAAATAACACATTCTCCTAGAATAACTTGAATTGAACAATATAGATATAATTAAATCAATAATGATCTCTAACAATAATAAATAAAATTTTCAAACAACGTGGATATAAAATAATTTATTCAAAATATGATATTGTGTATTTGGTCATTTTGATAATTTTAAAAAAATATCGAGTAAAACTTTCGAACAAAGTTGCGTGCCTCGACTCAGGGAATCCCTATGTAGATACACGTCACATAAGTGTATCCCTCTTCACTCATCAGCTACTCACCGACTCAATCATCGTGACTCGCAAGCTCTTGGAACAAGATGGACTTGTTTGTGGACATTAATACATTGCTCATTAGTCATTAGGGATTTGTAACCAAGGGTATAAGTATTAATTTTGGACTTCAAAATTGTAATGGACTTTTACAATATTTTTAAAATTAAAAGTAATTGTTGGATAGGGAGTCGGTACGGTATTATACCGGTATACCGCGGTATTTGAAAACATTTACCGTTATCATACCGAAATAAATCAGTACAGTATGATACCGTACCGAAAATGACGGTATACCAATAGTCTGGTATTTTTCGGTATTTTTCGGTACGGTAAATGCGGTATACCAATTTTCCTGTATTTTTGCCCACCCCTACTTGTGTGAGCTTAACTATCTCCAATGTTAAAAATTAGATGATTTACTTCAAATTTTAAAATTAACTATCTTTACCTATGTGGTGCACCGGATAAAATGATTTTACTGTTTAGTTATATTAACGAGAAATTACTTATCTAGTCGATTATAACATTGATTTAAAATGCATATTCTAATTTATTGAGTATATCTTATTTTTGAATTAACTATCTAAACATGTTTTCAGTTTATATGTTTCAACTCTATAAGAGTATTTTTCCAATAACAAATAAAATGTCTTATTTATAAAATTTTAAACAATAGATTCTATTTTGGGAAATGAAATTTTTTGGTCATATTTGAGTAAATCTCCCTTCAAAAACCTAGGTTACTTCAGGAGTAAAACATTAACTAATTCAAAATTTTGGATAATCATAATGTGGTAGAAAAAATTATTGGCACACTTAAGGTTTCATGAATGAGCTTTTGTATAAAAACGATTCGAGACATTCAGCCCGCCTTATCTGCCTCAAGTGTATTGGCTTAGACATGCTTTGTAGTTTGTATATGTTTCCCACTCAACCAAGTCGAACCGAGGCAGCACATCACTACACATGAGTGGGCTTGGGATAGAGTGTATATCCCAATTCCCAACTCTCACAACCTAATTTCAAACCCTTTTGCCAAACGTTTCACTCTGCATTCTTTGATTTTAATAATTGATTCTGATTTCAATTTAATAAAAAATAACTATTTTCGAACAATATAAACAACGTCAAGTACCTTGTGATCTGATGTCATCACTATGACACTTTCAAAGAGGAGGTCACATGTTCGAATCGCATCTCAGTTCAAGGATGTTGGCCGTAACAAAATAGATACTATAATAGATTAGAAAGATTTGCCAAAAAAACAATATAAACAATATTACTTTGACATTATATAAACAATACGGGGTATTACTTTGACATTGGGCTAAAGCTTTCGCGCCTCACACGAGCAAACGCTTGTTGTTTTGATAATTTTGAATAAAATCAAGGTTTTCCTAGGCCATATGCCCAATGGACTACTTGACCAGCTCTTACTGGCAGATATGGACATATATAAATGCTCTCTACCTTGCATCTTACTCTAGCATATACTACGTATATAAATGCTCACTTCTCAATTTAAGGTGTTCAAACATTCAGATTTCTTAGAATCACTTTGAAAGTATTATATACATTTTCACATACAATTTCTTAGAATGTTTTAATCATGTTTTGCCCAATGTTCTAAGTTATGGTTCCAGATTTCTTACCTTTCAATGCCTAATACTCCGTATATTTTTTTTTTGTACCTTCATTAGTGAATGCCAAGACATCATGGGTGTTCCAGCTTAAAACATGTAACGATCAAGTAGAGATCCAACCTCAACTTCATACTTGAGATAGTTACCCATAACTCTGTAAGTATGAATGCTAAGACATCATCAATGTGTTCTGTCTGTCCCCTGATTGATCGATGGCATCGCGAGGGGAGACAGGACAAAAGAATTCCCAAACACCAAGTTTACATCAACTTATCAAACTCAGACTTAAAAGAAATGATCAAGTTGCTGCAAAAGAAGTTATTTGCTGAAAACAAGCAATTTAAAACTCTACTTTGTTTATGACAGAGCAAGCACTGCCCTATCATGCTGACTTTCAGACTGGAATTGGGATAAAGCTGTGTCTGATTCCTCAGTTTCTTTGAAGCTGATTGGAGAACTGCTTACCAATTTCCTGCAATTATCAGACATAGCTTAATGCCACAGAAAATGCAGTATTTTAGCTCTTTTGGAGGGAAGAGAGGGGAGGAGTTGTTTTAATTTTTAAGCAAATATTGTTTTTAATAACTTGACAATTTTTCAAAATATAATATATGAAATGATAAATTAATATGACTAAATACGGAGTATGTCATTTATTTATGGAAACTGGAAAGATATGAAACAGTTCTCTTAAATCTTGTTTGAAAATGAATATAACTCCTCATCTCGAACACATCCCTTCCCCTCCTGAAACCAACTTACCAACTCCCCGCACATAACCTCAGGATCAGTTGGCATGAATGGTTTTAGAATTTGGAGAGAGGGTGTTGATGGGGTGAATCTATATTTTGATATATTTTGGACTTGATAAGTATTGAACGGATAACATTATAGATGACCATATAAAATTTTAATCGCCCAATTTTAAACATTGTATTTATACAGCCCTTATCAGATACCAGTGCTTTACATTGTATCAATCATATATTTCTCAAAGGAGTTGCATAATATGCTTTACCTTTGAGAGATGAGTGTTTCTTCCGACAACGCCTTCTCCAATCTCTCCTCAAATGGTGTTGCGTGCCAACTCACTTTTTGGTCCTGGTAAAAGAAGTTTTCAACAGCAGAAGCTTCTAATTTAATTTGCCCACTTTTAAATTTAAAAAGAACATAAAAAAATACAAGACAAACCACCTCTTTGTATTTGTGAGTAGAATTTGGAATCCCGTTTCCACCCCACCATTTAGGCGAGAGACTAGGTGTTTCTCTTTCATTCCAATGAGCAGCAACCATTCCAAGGATAGGGCGATCCCCCTTAGTTCTTCCATGACTTTGTTGATTGAAAGGTGGTTTCAGCCAAGAAGATAGGCTTGCTTCAACATTCGCATTGTTCTCACTTGTGGTCTCTATGAGTCCCATTTTTGGGGTACAATTTACTTCACTCAAGGATGATTTAAAATTAGAATCTTGAGCGGATTCCGAATCTTCTTCATCTTTCGCCTTCTTCAACTGAGAAGCATTTTCAACGGGGTTTAGAACGCCGTATACATATTCAGACCTGATGCGGGGATTTTTAGCTTTTGGCAGATTCTCTACATATGTTGAAAAAATAGTTCCAGGTGTTTGCATCTCATCAGTTAGCTTTAGGGGAGTTGGATAGGGAGAATGCTTTGAGTTTGGACTATCAACTTCAGAAGGCTTTTTGTCTGAATTGCGCTCAAAATGAACATGTTTTTGTCTACAAGCAGTGACAGGAGGCACTGTTGAAGGTGAACTTGATGAGATACCAACACTATTACTCTCTTCCTCACAAGTCATGCAGCTGCAGATACATATTGAGCAACATAGTAAGGGGTTATCTAATAAAATGCGCTTTACTTTCAAGTGTGAAGAAAGGATTTGATAGATTTAAAAAAAAATGTGATTAAAAAATCGAAAAATGGTCTTCACCATTTTTTTTACATTATCACAGTTATTGAAAAATGAATTAATCCTTTGTGCGTTATATGCTCATCGATTACATATTATAATGTGCAACATTAGCACGCATAAGTAAATGTTAAATAATAATTCAGTAATAAAAGCAACCAAGGAAATGAACACAAACAAACAATACTGTGAGACTATAAAATAGGTAGGATAAACATGGACCAATAGCTAGTGTGCCTTCTAACAGAAGAGCATTTCTTTAGTTTTGGAAATGGTACATTCAAATCAGGGAATTAAAACAGACACATCAATAAAACTTAAACATCAACAAACAACAACATTACCCCAGTGCCGCAAAGGCTCCCACCTACGGTGGGGTAGGGGGTCAGATGTACGCAATCTTACCCCTATACGAAAGAAGAAAGAGATTGTTTCCGGATGACCCAAGATGAAAATCATCATCATCATCACCCCAGTGCCGTAAAGGCTCCCACCTACAGTGGGGTAGGGGGATCAGATGTACGCAGACTTACCCTTGTACTAAAAAGCACAAAGAGACTGTTTCCAGATAACCAATGGTGAAAATCGAGTCGAAAATTGCATGAACTAACTACTGCTTCATAAGAAAGAAGCGCAGACAATTTAGTGAGACATTTTGCTTTACTACATCATATTCTCAAGCCAAAAAAGTAGTGAATCTTTAGCTCCATTGCAAATGATGGAAAGTGACCCATGATGAAAATTACGTCAAAAATTACATGGACTGACTGCTACTTCATAACAAAGATGCGCAGACAATTTAGTGAGTCATTTTGCTTTATTCCATAATATTACCAAGTCAAAAAATAGTGAGCCTTTGGCTCCATTGAAAATGATGGATATATCAATAAATCTGAAACAGCGGTATTAATGAACACAATAAATGACATTTGGTATTAATTTATTTGACTGCACACGTTGGACATGTTATAATGAAAAAAGAGTAGAGCTGACTGAACTCTTTTGGCAGAAGTTGCTTAAGACAACCATTTTAGCTTTTTTCATATTCAATAGTATTTTTTATTTATTTTATCACTAATAGATATACTTCTACAGTTCAGCGACTTCATAATCTCAATTCTGCAATCGCAGCCAAATTCACCCATACTAAACAAGCTCTCATTATGATTCTAAAATATTGATGGTTTCTGAGCTAGAGAAAGACGGTTTATTAGACTGTTCAGGATGCTACCTGCTAGGTGTACGGAAGGAAGAGCTTGATCCATCTACCCATTCAACGCAATCTTTTGTAAGTGAGAGATTGTTGGGCTGTATTTCTGTATTTTGCTTCTCAATATAAGTGTCAGGGAACAATGAACAAATTTTCAAAGGTTCATCAAGTTCCCCCATCTGAGGTGATGACAAATCACTGTTGCATTTATTACCAGAGAGCTTTTTAATTTCAATAGGTGTCTCGGGCAAGGTTCCACAAGCTTTGAGGAACTTGGCCTGCAGAAGAATATTATGGTCCTAATTAGGCAACGTACAAACAACAATAAAAGTTCCATAATCTTTATCTTTTTTCCACGAAGCACATCTTCAAATTATAAAAAAAAAATTGTAAAAGAAAAAACTTTAGAATTATATAAAGTAGAGCTTCAGACTGAATAAGGAGAAGGGTTGTCGTAATGCACCTGATGCTTGAGCTCATTTATATCCAACTCAAGCACTTCAGTTGTACAGCCAAGTTTCTCTACTCCCTTGGATTGCAAATTTGTTTCCTCTTCATTTTCTGTGTGCGTTTTAAAATTGAAAAAAATGAAATAATCTTCAACATCCAAATACTAGTTAATTACCCTATAGGAAACTGCACTTCAAATTAATGAATTGTAACTAAATTTTTCGTAAAAAGGGGCTAAATAAAAGTTGGATCCTGCAAACCTTACGGTTTGTTTGGATGACGGATTGAGAGGTTAAGAAGTGTAGGCACAGCTAAAGAATTGACATATTTGGGAGAGGTAAAAATACTGTATGTTACTAAAAGAAGTGTTTTTACTGAATTTACAAATGTTGATTGGTTTCACTTCTACCGGACATGGAAAATTTATGTGTAAGTTTTGGACATTTATGTGTAAGTTTGTAATGGGTATATTTTAGAACCAAGTGAAAGAAACTGAGTCAATATCTGTTATTAGTATGGATGTGCAAGAATAATATTGATATAATGGATGAAGAACAATTATAGGGAAAGAGGCTGTTAACCACCCCAAAACACCCCAAATTGGAGTGTTAAAAAGTTGAAGACAAGTTGTTGGTATGGTTACCCGTAACACCTCTAACTCTAAGCACTTGTTATCAATTTCGATTTTTACTGTATTATACTCTTTCCAAACAAGTGTTGACACTAACAACTTTTAACAGACATTACTATCACCCCATCAACACATAGTATTTAGTATTTAAGCTGAACACTGTTCTTCATGATTTTCCTAGATTTATTATATTATCAAACTATAATCTTCATATTTAGCTATCTAACCACAAATAAGTACTCAAATAACCTCATTAATTATTTTAGAAGTGAATTCTCTTTAAAAGTTACATGGAATGTTCAACACTCGTTATTATTGCTTAAAAGGATTGTAGTTAACCTGTACCGTAAAAGTTACCTTCAGAAACAAACAATGAAGAAAGTGGACTCCGATTCCTTGAGGCAACAGGTTCCTGATCGTTCATCAAAACAACTTCGTGAGTAACACGTGCACACAAACTGAAAGAACTGATACATAATTTTCGCAAATTTGGCAACTATGCTAAAAGGGTTTTGATGCTTAGATTTAATAAATTCAATCAGAACTTATACTCTAATCAAACCATTCATTTCATATTTTTCTGGAGGAAAAAAAATCACAAATTTGAAAAACATAAAAGAAAGCGTACGGTTGTACTAGAGAAGCGGGGAGAGCGAGAGGCGTGATCAGAGTGAGGGAGGTGACGATCAGCGGCGGAGCCGTCGCGGCCAAAGCGGAAACAACCGAAAAAACAGCCCATATCCGAATCTAAAGTGTCGCATCCAGTATCGCAGTACTCAGCTGGCGCAAATCATTGGTTTGGTGGGTAGATTGAGACCGAATCTAAACTCGAAAAACACGAGAACAGCTAATTGAGCATTAAGAGCTTTCTCATGGCATTGCTTGCAATTCAATTCAGAAGAGAAAACTTAAAGAGAGAAGGGGGGCTGGTGGTGACTTGGAGAGTTCACTGACTGAGATATGTCGAATGCCAGCCAGCTTGGATTTTGAAATTTGAACGGGGAGAAGAGGGAACTTTTTTAGGGTGATGTTCACTCCTTTTTCAGTGTACCATTGTTTTTAAATTGTTTAAACTTTAAACTATTTCATTTCTAGTCTGTTCAAAAAAAATACTTCCAGTTGAGGGTTAACCCGGCCTGCGTCATCTCAAATTTAAAAACTGTTTTAATTATTAGTGTAAATTATTTAGAGTAAAAGATCAAAAAAATTGTTATACTGGTTCAACCGATCCAGTGTTCAGTGTTCTTGTTACGCCCCTTATGTTAAAACAGCTACTTTGTTCTTTTTCAAACAATGTGAACTTTGATTTGATCTAAACACTTACAATATTGAAACCGATATGGAAGTAATGCCAAAAAAATACAATTATGTGCTAGTTTGTGCTATGACTTTCATAATTTTATAGAAAAATCTCTTTTTATGACCAAAACTTTTGTATTTCTTAAAATACGGCTCTTGTATTTTTTACCCCTCTAACATGTGCATGCATAGAGGTGGACAAGGTCCATATTCTGGGACTAGCGGGTTTTCGAACCGAGACCTGTCAACAAGAAATATGTCCCTATCACAAGCCTAACTTTTTGGGACGGAGACTAGCCGGTCTCGAAAACGGCCCTTTTTATTTTTTTATTTTTTACATTAGAACAACTAGGAAGTATTTTAAAAGGGGCGGGATTCGTTTAAAATTTGAAAAAGGATAGGAGGGCCGAGGGGGTGGAGGATCTAAAAAATAGGACAAGAAAATTTTAAAAGTTGAAAAGGGTGGGATGGGATCGTCCAAACTTGAAGACATGACCAAGTATTTTGGGACATAAGTTGTGTAAGATAAAAGGAAATAAGGAATCAATTGAGAGACCACAATCAGCTTAAGACCGGAAATAGAGGTCTTGTGCCTTCCTTTATTTTTTAGGACTAGCCTGTCGAGGAACGGAACCAACATTGCATACTCCTTGTATGTTTTAGTCGTATTTTGGGAAACAATCGTACCAAATTATATTTTGGGAATTTTCATGTGTTTTAATCCAATAAAGGTATTTTCCCCATTTTAGATTGTCTAGTTAATTTAATTTGACATAACTTATTAAGACTGATAATATTATTTCAAAATTAAATTAATACTACAAATTTGCAGAAAACGTCTTTCGATATGTCAATGTTTATTTTCAAGCCTTCATCGAAACCAAGAAAATATTTGAGAGTGCCCAAATCTTTCATGTGAAAACAAGTGTGTAAATAATTCTTGAATGCTGAGATAGTCACGGAATCATTGCTCGCAATAATCAAATCATCGACATATACAAGAACATGCAAGCGAACAGTACCGTTACGTAAAGTAAATAAAGAATATTCGGAGTATGACTGAATGAAGTCATAATGATGTAGCGAAGCAGCAAGTTTCGCAAACCAGCACCTGGGTGCCTGGCGCAAACCATAGAGAGACTTCTTTAAGCGGCAGACAAGTCCAGGCTGAGATGTATTAAACCCAGACGGAAGTTTCATGTAAACTTCCTCATGTAGATCGCCATGTAGAAAAGCATTGTGTACATCCATTTGATGTAATTCTCAATTCTGAGCCGTTGCAACTGCTAGAAAAGCTCGGACAGAAACCATCTTCGCCACCAGAGCGAATGTTTCCATATAGTCAATGCCCTCCTCCTGATGGTTACCAAACACGACTAGTTGAGCTTTAAATCGTTCCACGGTGCCATCAGAATTATATTTAATTTTATATACCCACTTGCACCCGAGTGCCTTTTTACCCGAAGGCAACCGCTGCATAACCCAAGTCTAATTATCCTCGAGAGCATGTATCTCGTGTTGCATGGCTTCACGCCATCCAGAATCAGTCATAGCTTCCCGGAAAGAACGGGGCTCCATTCCAGCAGTAATAGCACCAAGAAACGCTCGATGGAGGGCAGAAAACTTATCACATGATACAAAATGCGCTATAGGATAGGCCGTACCTGAAGAACTGAGTGGACCGGATGCAGACGGGGATGGGCTCAAATGTTGCACATGATGAGTGACAAGATCGCGAAACAAAACCGAGGTATGTTTCTCACATAGTCCTCGGCCAAGTGGTGCAGTAGTCTCGGCCGATGATACAGGTATAACAGAAGAGGATGCTAACACCATGGTAGTGTCAGAGTTATTCGGCAAAGGATTGGGATCATCATCGAGCAAGGGAGCCGTAGGAACCTCATCCGAGGAACCCAAGACTGCGGTAGACTCAGCAAAAGGAAATTCATTCTCATGAAAATGCACATCCCAAGAAACAAATATGTCACATGTAGCATAATCATACATCTTTTATCCTCTTTCCATGAGGATATCCAATAAAAACACATTTTCTACTTCTAAGGGTGAATTTATCACCCTTGGAGCGATGATCATAAGCGAAACAAAGACACCCAAATACTCTCAGGTGAGAAAGATTTGGGGCTTGTCCAGTAAGCATCTCATAGGGTGTTTTTCCCCCAAGCAATCCTGATGGCGTTCGATTAATAACATGAGCGGCGGTTAAAACACACTCACCCCACAAATATATCGGAATATTGGCTTGAAACATAAGAGCTCGGGCCACATTTAAAATGTGGCGATGTCTACGCTCCACTCTCCCATTTTGTTGAGGCGTGTGAACACATGAGGTTTGAATAATAATACCTCGAGTTTCAAAATAAGGCATCATACAATTGAACTCGGTGCCATTGTCACTACGCACTATCTTCGCAGAGTGGTTAAATTGTTTTTCAACCATAGCCAGGAAAGAGAGAGAATTATGACAAACCTCCTTTTTGTCACGCAATAAATATACCGAGACAGTTCTAGAAAAATCATTCACCAAAGTAAGAAAATAAATAGCATCACACGTACAGGGAGTTTTGTAAGCCCCCCACAGATCACAATGAATTAAGTCCAAAATATTACTAGCTTTATTGTCACTATGAGGAAAAGAATCACGAACATGTTTAGCTTGTGGACACACCTCACAAGCTTTATTTAATTTCTTAGCAGCAGAATTAGCATTAATAGCAGAAAGTAATTTAAGAACACGATATGAAGGATGACCTAGCCGTCGATGCCACAGTTCAAAATCTGTCAGATTCCCGATCGTCACAACGTGCACACTAGGAGATCCACAAAAATAGAAGAGCCCATCCCGTCGTTCACCGCTCCAATCAGGTTCCTCGAGCGTAGGTCCTGTATAGCACAAATTAAGTTAGTGAAAGTAACAATGCATTTTAACTGATCCGTTAGTTGCGAAATAGAAATAAGGTGACACTGCAGCCCCAATACATATAAAACGTGATCAAGAGTGAAATTTTTGGAAAGTGGCACACGCCCTTCCAAACCAGCAGTAACACGACGTCCATCTGGAAGACCAACCAAAACTACCCGAATGGGAGTAACCTCGGTAAGCTTAGAATATTCACCGGTGACGTGATGTGACGCCCCGGTATCAAGTATCCAATCAACAAAAATATCCTTACCCGTCATGCGATCATTGGAGCTATTTTCGGGGTGAAGAATATTTAAAATGACCTGCACATGTTCCCTGTTCAAACCCTGCAGCCCCACATCTTCAGAGTTCATGGTGCTACTCCCCGAATCTACCATCGTGAGGGTTGTTGCAACAGCATGCGCACAAGCCCCCCATGAGTAACAGGTGTTCCGGTCACTCCTTTGCTCTGATTTCTATCTTTCCACCACTCTGGATATCCATGGAGCTTGAAACAATTACTGACTTCATGCCTGCGTTGTTTACAGTGACTGCAATGGAGCTTCATTCGCTCCTGTTTGTCCAGTTTTCCCTTGGGCAAATCTGCCTGGAGAGCAAATGCATGGTTACTGGCAGCTACGGTTTTCCCTCGGGCAATGGCTCGAGACCTCTCTTCTTGGAGGAAACTCTGGTGCGCGCGATTAATATCGGGCGGTGGGGTTTGAGACAACAAATTTGACATCACCGTTCCATAAATTTCATCTTCAATCCCAATTAAAAATTGGTGCAGTTGTTCTTCCTCCCTGTCTGCAGCAAACTTAGCCACTACGTTGCAAGTACACAATCTGCATGTACAAGCGTGGAGTGGCTTCAACCGGTAGAGTTCATCATATAACCCCATTAATTTTGTAAAATATTAATCGACGGACATGGATTTGGTCTGCCTACAGTCCGTAATTGAGGCCTTAAGCTGCTGCAATCTTGGTCCATTCGCCTCGCTGAATCGTTTTTCGAGGTATTTCTGTTGGAATAAATCCATGAATACTTTAATCTTCATATTGAAATTATCTAGAGAATTAACTGAGCGGAAGCGTACCTGACTCCATTGGAGATTATCTTTAGAGATCCGGGAGAGAGAGACTAGGGTTTGCGTCTTCTAGTTGATACACACCCTCGTGATTATCTCTCTAGCGATGGGATGCAGAAAGACGGAATGATGTGCTCAACTAGGGACCATAACCCCTCTATTTATAGAGAATGCTTAACCCTAATCAGCCCATCATTAATTAGGTTAAGCCCATGGGTCTCTACACATTTGGGCCCTATACCTTATTAGATAACTTATTAGCCCACTTAAATTAATATCCATAGGACCACTAATTTTTGGGCCTAAATATAAGATAGCATATAACATACAATTAAACCCAATAAATAATATACTGTGAATAATACATGTAGTATGAGTCCAATAATCTAACAATCTCCCATTTGGATGACATACACATGTATACACACAATCCTTAGTATTGTATGTTTACTTTAGGAGCTCCAAAATTTTGCTATCAAACTGTAGTCATCTTTAATCAATCCGGTCCATTAATTATATCAACATAGGATCAAAGAAGTCTTTGCTATATTTGAATAACTAGACTCATCAATGATCACATATATTAATATAATAAACGACATGGATCAAATATAGGTGTGTAGCGTGGAAATAACATAAAGTGTGGTCTGGAATAGAATGTCTATTTCCAACTGGTCCACCTTGAGATCAATAATATAACTGTAAGAGTACATAAAACTTTAAACTTTATTTCTGCAGAAAATAAC